ATAACCAACACCTTGAATTGTGTCCGGAGACCAATAGGTAGCCAGTGCAGCTCACGGAGGATAGATGTAATGTGGGTGTACCTAGGTACACCCAATATTGCTAGCTGCATTCTGGACTAGTTGCAGTCTCCGAACACTTTTCAAGGGTAGCCCCATGTAGAGCGCATTAACAAAAGACATCAGTCAATTGCAAAAGGCAACTTTAGTCAGAACAACCTATACCCTGTAATCAACATCTGACTACCCTAGGTCCTTAGGAAGGACTCGACAGATAAAAATGTCAAATCCCAAAACATCTGGAGCACCACTTAAACAACCAATGGCACTGACAAAATGACTGTCAACTGCAAAAAAACAGCTTTACTTGAAACAGCTTGCATCCTGCAATAAGACCATTAACACCATCAAACAACATCATTTGCCTATTTCAGGTCTTTGAGAAAGAATCAATAGGTGGATAAAAATATAAAATCAAGTCTAAACATTTGGCCGACTGCAACAAACCGTAAGAAGTGAGAGTTTTTTTAAAAAAAAGTTAAAGGGAAGTTTTAAAAAAAACCACCACTAAAGGGAAGTGCAGCAGTTCTAAAGGATAACATTTTACTTAGTAGTTGAAGAATTAACATTTGCCCAACCTTCATAGAGGGAAGGCATGAATAAATAAAAATCTGGTTGTTGGACCAGGGTGCTTGGAGGACCCCAATGGGTGGTAGATATTGGTGAGACACATGGCCTACCGAAATTGCCACCTTGCTCTTTTTTCTAGATTCTATTTATTACAACACAAACAACCCAGGGTTTAATTCAACTCTAATTTTAAAAAATGCAAATATCTGAAAAATCTCCTGAATCTTAAAAACAAAAAAACTGTTTGCACCATAAGCTGTCAAGACTTTAATGCCTCCATTTCAGCCTGCATTTACTACCTTCCCTTTAAGCAAGCGACGAAGACCTTAACTGGGCAGGTACATATAACATCCTGCGTCATCACCCATGTTCAGGCCTCCCTTGCAGGAGCTGGTCTCCCCCTAAAGACCCAACTCCAAACATCTTCCCCCAAAGATCCTCCTCCCCCCAAAACCCCAGCTCAAAGGTCCTCCACAAAGACCCCACTTCAAACATCAAGCCAGCCCAATAAGATCCCATCCCAAATATCTTTTCTAAAGACCCCAACCCAAAGATCCTCCTCAAAGACTCCATGCCAAGGACTCTCTTTGCAAGAGCCCACCCCAAACATCTCCCCCCCCCCAAGAACCCACTTCAAAGATCCACCCCAAAGATTCTCCACAAACATTGTCCTTCAAAGATCCCCCCCCAAAGGTTGAAGAAGATGATGCAGCAACATATTGATTTAAAACCTGAATTGTTTTTGTTGGGTATCCTACCAGGGAAATATAGTAAAGAAAATGTATATTTGATTATTGTGTAATAACTGTGGCTAGAATTATATTTGCACAAAATTGGAAAGCTGAAGAAATCCCTACAGATGAAAACGTGATTAAGAAAATATTAGAATGTGCAGAAATGAACAGATTAACATTAGCAATTAAAGAAAAGGAAGAACCTGATTATTATATTATATGGGAGCTATTTTACATTGGCTGGAGAATGAGCATGGGAAAAATGTATCATAAAATTAAATAAATTGGGAAGAGAAATGTTACAATAGTAGGTATGTTAAGATGTAATGTTAAGATACGATTAAACCTATATAAAGAATATAATGGCAAGCTTTAATTACTCAGATGACATACTGATTAATGAATGATGAAATGTTTGTATTAAAGGAAAATAAAAAATAAAAAAAATTATAAAAAAAAAGATCCTCCCACAAAGACTCTCTTCCCCAAGACTGCACCCCAGTGTCCCCACTGTCACAGGATGATGATTGGGGTGCTTGGCAACCAGCACCCAGTTACAATGGTCACAGCTTCCCACAGTCACATCATCACCCCTTGTGATCTTCACTGCCAGCTTCCAATATGTCAAGTCAATGGGGAAACAGCCTCCACCTGATGTCTTGCTTAATGAAGGCACATGATTCCTTTACCAACCACAACCTGAACTGTCATTGTACACTGAAGACTGCATTTAATTTTGTTGTACAAGGTGCAATGACAATGAACTAAAGTAAACGTCTTCTCTCAAATGCTCTCCCTCCAAAGACCCCCATCCCAACCCATTCTGCCTTAACCCAAAGCAGACCCCCAGCCCTTTTACAATCCGCCAAAGCTTCTTCCCCTACGGGGTCCCTCCCAAGGAACAAGGCGACCCTCTTCGCCCATCTGCTTCCCATCCAGGCACTTCCAGGACTCAACTGGGGAACCTTTGGTGGCCCAATTCACACAACACCCACCCCCCACTCCCAATCCCTGGGTTTGATTCCTGCATCAGGCGAGCCCTCCCACGGGAATTCTAGGTCGGCGAAAGGCCCAGTATCCCAAGAGAGACGCAACCCATGGTGGTTTATTCAACAAACTCAGTTTAAGCGGTGCTTATTCTAGGGCTCGAATAGGTGCAGGGACCATAGGCAAAAAAGGAGGGGCTACCTTGTCCTCATTTGCCCCCGTTTCAGTGGAGCGTCCTCCTTTTGTTCCCCAAACTTACCCCCCTCGCTTTTGCCGCCCCCCGAAACGCGGAAGAGGCAGAAAAGAACTCGCACCGCTTGACATTCAACCCACTTCCGGGTGCTCCTGAATGGTTACTAGGAGACGCAGTCCGTTCCTCAAAGACGTCCGTCTGGGCCGTCCTTGCCTAATAGCCTTCCGGCGACCTCCTGCGTTCGTCTACATTGAGTTCCGCCTCATCGAGCTTCCCTTTTTGCGAAAAGAATGGAGGCGTTCCCCGTTACCCTGTATTTTTTGAAACGGATCCAGCTGTTTAATTTTAGATTTTTACTACTATTTTATTTGCTCCCACCAGCAGTTCGACCCATTTTTATGGAGGGGGTGGGAAGCTGCTCTTTTCGTTTTGCTTAATGACGATTCCCCCACTCGCCCGTTATTGTTATTGATGGACAATATCAATAATAAAGTTAATAACAATAATACAATGTTAAACATTAACAATAAAGGCGGGTCGTTATTCTGGTAATGCTGAGCTTTCCACACGTTGCCCCTCAGAAACAAATTCACTGAATGCAAATAAAGGAGTGGAAGTTTGTCCTTTTTGGGGACATTAAAATGCAGTGTTTCTAGAATAGAATAGAATAGAATAGAATAGAATAGAATAGAATAGAATAGAATTCTTTATTGGCCAAGTGTAATTGGACACACAAGAAATTTGTCTTTGGTGCAGATGCTCTCAATGTACATAAATGTACAAGATACATTTGTTAAGAATCAAAAGGTACAACACTTAATAGTCATAGGGTAAAAATAAGCAATCAGGAAACAATCTATATCAATATAAATCGTAAGGATACAAGCAAAAAGGTACAGTTCTGCAGTCATAAGTGGGAGGACATGGGCGATAGGAACGATGAGAAGACTAATAGCAATAGTAATGCAGCCTTACAGTGGTGAGGGAATTATTTGTTTAGCAGAGTGATGGCGTTCGGAAAAAAACTGTTCTTGTGTCTAGTTGTCTTGGTGTGCAGTGCGTTTTGAGGGTAGGAGTTGAAACAATTTATGTCCAGGGGCCTGTAAATATTTTCTGTAAATTTGGCAGATGTGTGGATTACAATTGCCCAAATCCCCCAGCCAGATGGCTGGGGAATTCTGGGAGTTCAAGTCCAAATGTCAAGTTTCAAGAAGATTGAAATAAAAGATCAATAATATAAAAGTCACACTACATCGGTCAAATTGGTTAAAAAAATCTTTCTGAAAATTCTCAAAGATGTTGTCTTACATTCTACAAATACAGAACCACCTGAAATATTTTACTTTATATTTCCTACCATAGTGAAAATAAAGAAATAAACCATGACTTTATTCTTAAGCAACTTGGTTTTGATTTGAATGATCTTTTGTAACTTATAGCAATACAGCAATAGCAGTAGACTTATATACCGCTTCACAGTGCTTTGCAGCCCTCTCTAAGCGGTTTACAGAGTCAGCATATTCCCCCCCAACAATATTAAATTCATGTGTGTATTAATTACACACCCCCATGCACACAACCATAGAACAGAACTTGCAAGTTTTACCCATGTGCAGCATGTAATTTGATGCCACAATACAGACATTACAGACACAAAAATTCACTGACAATCTACACACATAGGTTTGCTTACATCAGGAATGAATCTGGCTTTTATTTCATACCAACCTGATTAAATGTACAGTAATGCAGAAAGTGGAAGCTCTTGTAGCGGCTTTTCAAATTGTCAAATGCGCCCTGCTCATTGCATGAAGAGCCTTTAGTCTGCAAAGCAAAATTAACCGTTGCTGTCCACGCCCTGGGCAGATACATAGGTTTCTTTCAATGGAAGGTCTGGGTCTTCCAATTTCCTGATAAGCTTCATGCCATCTCAACTGTTATCTGTTTGAGGATTAGCCTTGTCGGCCTCCAAACTATTTTGTTGGAAGCTGATAATTCTACCGAATGGCTCAGAATCTCCCCATATGCAATTTCCCTCTTTAATATCTGTCTTTGGCACCATGGCAGTGTGTCTTTTATTATAAAAGGCAGTCTTTCATTACAGAAAGTTATCCTTTAGATTTATAGTGTAGGACGTTAGCACCCACCCCTCTCCTAGAAAAATGAAACAATTTAGGAAAAATTAAAAGGGCAGAATATTATATTTCCTTGGATGAGAAAATGGGGAAACGTGTTTTTAGGCAGGAAACAGACTCACTCTTAATAGCCTCCACCCCCCTCAATAGCCCACAGCAGATGTCCTTACTTAAGAGATAAAGAGATAGCTAGATCTATTCATAAGCAAATGCCTAGGATCCACCAAAGGTAGGATTAGCCCTCTACCAATGGTGAAATTCAATTTTTTTTACTACCAATTCTGTGGGCATGGCTTGGTGGGCATGGCAGGGGAAGGATACTGCAAAATCCCATTCTCTCCCCACTCCTGGGGGAAGGATATTGCAAAATCCTCATTCCCTCCCCACTCTGGGGCCAGCCAGAGGTAGTATTTGCCGGTTCTCCGAACTACTCAAATTTTCCACTACTGGTTCTCCAGAACCTGTCAGAACCTGCTGAATTTCATCCCTGCCCTCTACCCATCTCAGCGCAAGGCACCCAAGAAGATTACATCATCAGGAGTGGGTTCCTGCTACCATTACTACCGGATCAGTGCCCAAAAATTTTTGTAAGTTGAAAACAGCAAAAAATAAACTGGCATAAATACAATGAAAACCAATTAAAATGAAAATCAACAGAAAAAAACACAGAAGCCACTGTGCCACAGAAGCTTACTATATTTATTTATGCTTCGCTGCCATCTTAGCCAAACAAGTGGCTTGCAATACAACTCTACAATATTGGTTTTAAATAACAAAACACAGGTATGATGCAAATAGGTTTATGGCTGACTGAGCAATTCTGGGGGTTGAAGTCCACTCATCTGAACACGGTCAAGGTTGAGAAACATTGTCCTACACAGGATTGCTGCCCTGATCTGG